CTTCCCAGATTTAACAATAATCGGCTAACGACACCAACTGCATGAGCTATATCTGATCTTGTGCAAATCATTGCATACATCAAACTTCCTACTGCTGAAGCGTAAGGAACTCTTTCCGTGTCTTCCTTTTCCTTATCTGTAGAAGGATATTGCTTTGTACTCAGTCTGAAATGGGTAACAAGAGGAGAGCTAACCACTTTAGTGTTGTCCATATTGAACCTCTGAAGCACTTTTTTAATATACTCCTCCTGTGACAAATATAACTTCTTGGCACTCCTATCACGACTGATTCTTATGCCAAGAATTTTCTTCGCTGGCCCCAAATCCTTCATAGCAAATGACTTACTCAATTGCTTCTTCAACTAGTCAATCCTTTAAGCATTCCTGCCAACAATCAACATGTCATCCATATAAAGCAATAGAATAATAAAATCATCATTAGAGAATTTTTGAACAAATACACAGTGATCAAAAGTTGTCTTCTTGTAGCCTTGTTCCCCCATAATAGACTCAAACTTCTTATACCACTGTCTCGGTGCTTGTTTCAAACCATATAGGCTTTTCTTCAGCTTGCACACATAATCCTCTTTCCCTTTCACTTTGAAACCCTCTGGCTGCTTTATATAAATCTCTTCCTCCAAATCACCATGAAGGAAGGCAGTTTCCACATCTATCTACTCAACTTCCAAGTCAAGACTAGCTGCTAGGCCGAGTGCTATACGGATTGATGACATCTTTACGACTGGAGAAAAGATCTCATCAAAGTCAATACCTTTTCTCTGACCGAACCCTTTGACAACTAATCTAGCTTTGTACTGTGGCCGTGAAGAGAACCCATTTGGCTTCTTCCTGTAAATCCACTTGTTTTCCAAAGCTCTTTTTCCTTTAGGTAGCTTTACTAACTCAAAAGTGTGATTATCATGCAATGATTGCATCTCATCTTGCATAGCCTCAATCCACTCTGTCTTGTGTTCATCTTCTATGGCTTCTGCAAAACACTGGGGCTCTCCCCCGTCAATCAATAACACATACTGCTCTGCTGAATACCAAGTGGAAGGACGTCGGTCTCTGGGAGATTTCCTGGATGGAATCTCTGGTGGAATCTCTGGCGCTGTCAACTGCTCATCAGTCTCAACATCTCCCTGAACCTGTAGGGGAACATCCACATCACATGTACACTGGTGGTCATCCTGAACATCATTCTCAACCTGAGATGGCAGATTCTTTAGAGGAGCTGGATCCACATTAGTCAAGATATCACTCTGCTGAGACATAGATTTCTCTGCTTTCTCAATATCCTGAATTGTCTGATCTTCTACAAACACGACATCTCTGCTTCTCACAATTTTCTTCTCAACTAGATCATAAAACTTGTACCCAAACTCATCTTGGCCATAGCCAAGGAATATACACTGTCGCGTTTTCACATCAAGTTTGGACCTTTCATCTTTTGGAATATGCACAAATGGTTTGCACCCAAAAACACGCAGATGATTATATGCAACATCCTTACCTGTCCCAACTCGGTCTGGCACATCAAACTGTAGAGGAACACAGGGTGTAAGATTCAACACATGAACAACTGTGCTCAATGCCTCCCCCCAAAAGGATTTTGGCAACTGGGCTTATGAAAGCAAACATCTCACTCTCTTAACCAGTGTCATGTTTATCCTTTCTGCTACGCCATTCAACTGAGGAGTTTTCGGAGTTATCTTGTGATGTCGGATACCCTACTGTCTACAATACTCATCAAAAGGACCAGAATACTCTCCGCCGTTATCAGTACGAATGCATCTCAGTTTCTTCCCAGTTTGTCTCTCAACTAGGGCTTGGAATTGCTTAAATACTGTCAACACTTGGTCTTTTGAATTCAAGGTATATACCCACAACTTCTTTGAATGGTCATCTATGAAGGTCACAAAGTATCTGGAGCCACCAAGTGTTCTCGTCTTCATAAGGTCACACACATCTGAATGTACCAAATCCAGTATCTCTTACTTTCTCGAATGAGGGGAATTTTTAAAGGAGACTCTACTCTGCTTCCCTGACAAACAATGAGTACACCTTTTCAGAAGTGTACTTTTCAGTCCACATAGTAGACTTTTCTTCCCTAGTAGAGCTAATCATTTCTCACTCATGCGAGCCAGTCTCTTGTGCCACAACTCTGTTGTATCATTATCCTCCATCGCATTAACAATGTCGTTGGAGATCTTTGTTTGCAGAACGTACAGTGTAGAGTGCTTCATGCCTCGAGCCACAACCATAGCACCCCTAGTGAGCTTCCACTGGCCATCACTGAAAGTGCTGCAATACCCTTCATCATCAAGTTTACCTGCAGAAATCAAATTCAAGCGAATATCAGGAATATGCTTCACATCTCTAAAAACTAACCTCATGCCATTATTCGTCTTCAGATACGCATCCCCAATTCCAATGGCTTTAACCAATCCATCGTTGCCCATCTTTATTGTTCCAAAATCACCAAATTTATAAGATGTAAAGAAATCCTTCCGAGATGTAGCATGAATGGAGGCACCACTGTCAATCACCCAACTGGTTTCATGGTATGCAACATTTATTGTCTCATCATCATAAATAATGAGGAAGTTTGCAGGAGTGGTGGTAGCAACTCTATCATCATCATCTTTGTCATCTCCATCTTCGTTCCCTTCCCTTTTTCATTCTTGTTTTCTTTCTTCAATTGCCTGCAATATTTCTTAATGTGTCATTTTTTCCTGCAATGATGACACTCAACATTTGCAAACTTGTTGAACTTGCTTCTACTGTTATCTCTGTTCTTCGGACCTCTGCTCTTACTTCTCCCTCTCTTTTCTGTAATCAAGATCTGTGACTGTGAAGAGGATCCCTGTGCTTTTCTTCTCATCTCTTCATTTAGCAAACAACTCTTAGCCATATCCATTGTGATTACACCTTCTGGAGCGGAATTAGACAATGAAGTTCTGAGTGTCTCCTACGAGTCCGGTAATGAACCAAGCAACCATAACCATTGTATCTCATCATCAAACTTAGTACCCATTCTAACCAGCTGATTAATAATTCCTTGGAATGTATTCAGGTGACCAAATAAAGGAGTCCCGTCCTGGTATCTCAAAGCCATCATCTGCTTAATCAGAAATAATTTATTATTTCCAGTCTTTCTAGCATATAGCTGTTCAAGCTTACTCCATAGAAAACATGCATTTGTCTCTCCACTAATATGGTTCAAAATATTATCATCTACCCACTACCTAATATACCCACACACCTGTCGATGTAACAAAGTCCATTTCACATCAGACTTGTTTTCTGGTTTTTCAGCACTAAACACCAGTATGTAATAATCTTTCACATAAAGAAGATCCTCCATTTTTCCTTTCCATATGTGATAATTTGAACCATTGAGATTAATAATTCTACTCGTATTTGCTTCCATAACTTAAACTGCCAACTTGGCAATCTTTCAACCTGGAGCTTTGATACCACTTTGTTGGGAGAGATAACAATAAACAAATACAGCGGAATAACTCTTCTCCCTATGTACAAGCAAATATAATGTATCTCTACTTTTATATGTGTTGAAAATAATAGAAAAGAAAATCAATCACACCAAACCTCAAGAACACAAGCAATTTTTTACGTGAAAAATTTCCCCAGTGTGAGGAACAAAAAACCAGGGAACCTAGTCCAGTTGAAATCTCCACTATTAACCAAATAATGGGTACACAAAGTCTTCTCTAATCGCAATTAGAGGTACAATACATCTCATCAAGATATCACCAATCTTGGCAAAAAACAAAGAGAATTGGAGAGAAAATACCATAAACCCGGTTACTGTTCACGGGTACAAATCACTGTTCCCGAGCTCAAAATCTGATCTCCACCGTTCAGATTTTAACTCATTGAGTCGTGAACCTCTCCTCCAAATTTCAGCTCGATTGGACAACGGACGAAGCGGGATCGGAGGTTTGATGAAATCTAGGTAGTGTATGGAAAAACTACGTTTTTCCTCTCTTGTAAAAACTACGGCTGATCTCCCTCTCTTTTTATTCTGACTTCCTTAGCGTTATTCACCCTAAAGGACTGGGTTTTGGGCTTTAATAAAACCCACTTGGGCTTTCCTCCATATAGAAGGAAATAAACCCAACACTGTTGTGATTGAGTCAGTGCTCAAGTACATTAGAACTTGCTTTTTACTCAACTAAACAATGTCAATTTATTGCCAACTCCATGTGCTTGATCATTTAGGTTTTACATACTATACTCATTGAAGAACTCGCGCGCGCGCGCGCACACAATCAACAGGCTATTTCACAATGAGTAATGATACACTGATCAATTTGTTTTACTATTAATCCGAATCTTACGCGGACTTGTTACTTACACGGACTTGTTACGTCATTCCACAAGCACTAGAGTTCTAAAACTCGCAAACTAAAAAACCGTTTACGGAATTTTGTCTCTCCAATCTATAAAACCTTTTAAGGTCCGGAGAAAATCGAAGAGAAAATTCGGTAAAATGTTTTCTGCTTTTGAGGGTAGCGGACGGTCCGGAGGTAGTTTCTCTTCGATTTTCTCTCTCTAGTTCTTTTCTCCCCTCCTCTCTTATCAATATTACCTCTCATTCAGATTTTTTGTTCTCTTCTTCTCTCATATTTTGGCTCTCTCTCTCTCTTCAATTCGCAAAATCAAAGGAGCACAACAATAAAATTCCTTATTTGGTTGGTAGTTCAAATCCTCCTCTTCCCGCTCCATTTGATTTTGGCTCAATCTCTCTTGCAGCAAAGTGTCAAAAAGATTGTTACAGAATTGGCCATTGATGTTCTCTGTGACCTAGAAAAGATTTTTCCAATTCCAAATGAAAAACATGTAAAGGAGTTACTGTTACAATAGCCAGAGCAGATCTTGACATCCAGAAAGTCGCGGATTCAAAACAAAAAATTGCCTCTCTTCATGGGCTGTGTATATCTAATCCTTCCCGAACTGAGACAATAACAAGAGTCTCACGCAATGGGCTGTCCTTTTGATATTGCCAACGGCATCAAAACATACTTGAATAACAAAAAAAACACATATATAATATGACCTACTTCATTAAACTGCCTGAATGTCCCCCCAACAAAAATTACAACAAAAAAGTAAGAACAGAGAAACTAACTACCTGAACCTAAGTAAGAACAGAGAAACTACCTACCTGAACCTACTTTCTCGGCTTTCACTCTTCTTCCAGTGCTACTTACATTAGGTTTTCTATTATTTCTCTTTTTTATATCACCATCAGCATCGACCTCGTCAGCATCGTCCTCCACATAAATTATACTGTCTTCAGTATCATCATCGTAGCTGGCCATATCTATTTCACCCTCATCGTCCAAATCGTCACCGTCTTCATCCTCATAGGCATCACCATCTTCTATACCATCCTCATCATCATCCATATTGCCACGCATTGTATGAAACTCCAGAGGAGGAGGACAATCCTCAGTGATCGCCTCGTCCCTCTTTATCACGAGATGCCGAATGACTCTCTCATCTTTGTCTAACATGCTCTTAAAATCGTTAATCCATTTGGCTTCCAGCTCGAAGTTCATCAAAATGTAGTGGGCATTCTTTGCTTTCTGGATCTTGTATGCCAGTCTTCGGAGACCCCAATCACTGAATCTCCATACCTTGCCTTTCTTCTCCCTTAAAAAGTCTGCAAAAATGTTTTTCATAGATATTGGAAAACTAAATTTCAAAAGTTCAAAATGCATCCTCACAGATGGCATTTCAAAATAGACAGATCATAGTGGTGTCGGGCCATAAAATAAAACAGAACAAAACTAACTTTCTAATTCTGGCTACGAGGAAATCTACACACAACACCCTAAAACTTCAACAATTACCATCCCCACGTTTCAAACTCTACACCTTCATATGGTATACTAGTCTTCTTAGCTAATCTTCTTATGCCAGATCACATATCATTCTTTAGAATAGAAAATTAAAGAACAGAATTTACAGCATGCAGTGTGAATGTTTCTCTCTTTTGGAATAAAGTTTCGGTAAACATTCATCGTAAGCTTAATCAAAGCTTTTGATCACATAAAAATGTAGACAAAACAAAGAGATGGAATGGCTAGCTCACCTTCAACCTTTGAATTCACACTTCCAACCTCTTCCTTGTGGTTCTCATGAATTAAATAAACCACTTCATAGTGGCGCACTGTAAAACCAAAAGAAAGAAATAACAACTCAATGCAGCTATTACAGTCGATTACACAATTTAAATCAACTGATACAGAAGATCACAATATGCTTCAATATTCAATTTATAATTTTCCAGTGTATTTTTCCCAAAACCAACAATGGAGAAGCAAAATGACTTTGATTCCTAGATTCTCAATGTCCTTCTGGATCACCTCAAACAGTTATTCTATTTGACAAGGAAAGAAGGAAGAATGACAAGGAAAGAAACATGCTCACTTTGTTTGACATTCGAATGGCTCTCGAGCTTAAGATTCAGATATTCAAATATTTTCTCTGCAAATTAACAATCAATTCAAATACTGTGAGATAAGAAAGAAATAAACTACTGTAAAGAACCTCTTTGAGACTAGCCAAAAAAAAACTACTTGAAAATGTCTAGTGATTAAAGAAACTCAGACCATATTAAACACTTACCTTCTTCTGAGTCTGCAAACTCGGGAAGAAGGCTACCATCTTCCTGAAGTTTTTTCTGAAAGTTGTAATCGAAAGCTTAACATAAGAAACCCATCTCTATACAATAAATACTCCGAAAGAACAAAAGCAACACAAAATTCAATTCCATGGAAAATAAAATTGAAAACATGAAAACAAATAAAATATTTTACAAAAATTACCAAACTTATAATAAAACTTCAAATCATTAGAAGGAAAACTATTCTCTTGCATACATACATAATCACAATCTCAATCTCTTTAATCCACACACTTGTGACGCAATTTCACACAGTTCCTCAAAGAGTGTTCATTGGTGTGCCTATGCTTTATAGGTATACCTACAAACAATTAGTGCTCTAGGGTTTCACTAGAGTATTTTGAATCTATTCAGGTGTTGGTTGATAACCCAAATTAGTGCTTAATTCTAAACATGTGTGCGTAAGGTCACTGTAGAAGTGGCTTATCACTGAATGCAACACTTAAAATTCAAAAAAATATCTACATAATCTCAAATTTTATTTACCTTCAAAAAATTGAACACTTGAAATTCAGTTCATAAAATTTTCAGTTTTACCAAAAATTTCTTTCCAAAATTTGCATAAGTAACAATGAGAACACTGCACAAGAACCCTAAAATAAAGGTGAAAAGAAGAATATATACACACATACATAAAAAATAAAAATAAAATTATGTATAAGGGAATCTATATTGAAAATCACCTCTCTAAGCAACACAGCTTCGGGAAAAGGACCAGTTGCTTCATCAGGTTTGACTACAAAGCTATGAGTGTCAATCTTCTTCTTGTCGTTCTTGGCCTCCACAACCACTGATCTTCTGAGCCTCAGAGAGCTCTTCTGAGATGAAAATGGCAACAAAGAAGAGTACCCATTTGCGAAAACCAAACAACTACTTCGATTCATAGCAAACCCACCACTGCTAATCAATTTCTCGAACTCTGGAGTGACAGGTGTGGTTGTAAAGGAGGTCCGTAAAATTGTCTCCATCGGAACGGTAGAGAAAGAAAGGTGCTGGTGCTGGAGGGTGGAATTTGATTATATTTTCTCTCCAGATGCAGGGGAGGGGAGTGGTATGAGCGAGAAAGGTAAGAAGAACGGTGTTGTTTGGGATACAGAAGGGGTTTATCCCTGGGTTCTAATCCTCTGAGGCAATCCTAGCCATGTGCATATTGGAGACCAATCACGTCTTGCCACTAATACTCTGTTCGGTAAGGGAATTGGATGGAAGGGAGACCAATCACGTCTTGCCACTAATACTCTGTTCGATAAGGGAATTGGATGGAAGGGAAATAAAATGAATTGATGAAACATCCGTACTTAAGAAATGGAAGGATGGGAATGAAGTATAAGACCATGCTTTGCTTTGCCTTGCTTTCAATTTATTTAATAATTATAAATGATAATATTATAATTTAATATTTTTATAACAACTTTTCTGTTTTTTTTTTTCTCCATATCTGGAGGGATTAAGTGCACTGAATACCTCTAAACTATAAGCAACAAACTTTTTTAAATTAAAAATAACAATGTTGCACTTAAAGAGGAATAGTCAACCAACCATTAACGGAAAAATCAAATTACCTTTCTGTCCTTAAATTGAATGACATCATTTGTTTAGTTTTGAGTTCACCATGATGACGACGTGGCAATGAAATCCCACTAACCAATTGAAATTGGATAGCACGACAACCTAACATTATCATTATACATCATTATAGCCCTATATCAATTTTCAACACCAAACAGCTCCTTTAAGGTGGTGGTGTTGGTGTCGGTGTGGTGGTGGTGACCAACCTTTGCAAAATCCTAGGCCTCAGCCGTCGTTGCAACATCTTCGGCCATGGACGGACAGTGGAGGTGGTGGCCATGGATGGGAGGACGATAAAGGTTGGTAGGAGGAGAAAAGGGAGGCATATTTATTTAATAGTTATTAAGGTTATTTTTGTCTTTTAAAACAAACTAAATATTTCACGGGGGTTAAGTGTCTTTTTTAAGTAGTTTAGGACTGGTAACCCCCTCGCAACTACCTCAGGAAAGTTGCTAGACTGACTTCTTCGATTGATTGTTTGATTTCTTTCGCTCACGAGGGGTTTCTTGATAAAGAGAAAAATGTTCAGGGGGAGTAATGCACTTAACCCTATTTGGCTGAATGAAAACTTATAAAATAAAAATAATGCTTCATATCCATCATCTTTTTCATTCCCTTAGTATCCCATCTGCGACTTTCTTGTCTTTCCTAAGTTTCCTTCCACTTCTCTTCTTTAGTCTCTATCAAATGGACCATAAAAATAAATTAGCCCATGTTATACCAAATACGAGTCGTATCTTGAAACCTATTGATCCATTAACACACTTCCATCTCGTTATCATAGTAGTTCTTCCTAAATTATTTTATTATTGTTATTTTCTTTATCTTATTGTATTATCAATTATAGATTTACATAATTTATCATTTAATTCACCAACAAAATTATGGAAAGTAATTATAACTTGTAAATAGTACTTGAGAGTGGGTGTGTTTGTTTTGTTTAGAGGATCAAATGATTAAATAAGATTGATTTCCCTTCTTTCCTTGAGATTCAGGCCTGCTTACCTTTGTTATTTAATTAAAAAACTACAAATACCATAAAACCACATTCGATAAAAGGCAAATTAATTATTTGGTGATAGAATATGTATAATCTTTTATAAATAAAGTATTTTAATTTGTTTGGTAACACAACTGTCTGAAACATTTTTCTGGCTAATTTTATAATAATACCCTTTAACCTGGTATTACTATAATAAGATTTTATAAAATAAGGAATCAATTTTTTTTTTCAATTAAAAAAAACGAAAGATAAAATGGTCTAAGAAAAAATATTACCTACAATATAAACCACAGGTCTACTACTCAGAACTGAACTAAGTTGAAAAAAAAATAAAAAATAACTTCAACTCTTGTGAGCTAAAATCTGTACCATTTATTTATTTAATATTTTTTTTGTTTTGCCAAACACATTTAAAAGTAAAATTTTAAAATAAAAGTGGTTTTAATGATCTTACAGTGACTAGGGGACTTGTGCCACACCTGTATATAATTGTCATTTGGCACTCTTTGATGATCTTGGCAAGTATTCTCAAAACCTAAGTTACACCATTACTTTCATCCCAACAGATACGCATATACATCATGTACATGCACCATTGACAGCCAACCATGAGAATGATAGGCATCATATATTGTTAAAGGATAATGATTCTTAAACCTAAAATTCTAACTGAGAAACCTAGCCGAGGGATGAAGTGGATAAGTCTAAAACTTTGACTTCTATCCCTCGGCTAGGCTTCTCGATTAGTGTTTTAGGTCTAAGTAGCATTGTTAGAATATCCGACAAAATATGCAGACAGGCAACTGAACAAAGTATCTGTCCAATACAAGATTGCTCATAAACCACCAATGACCGACTGGTCAAGTGATATGGACCATGGAGGCCAAGATGATTTCTCATCAAGGTAAAAAAGTGCATTTTCTTCCATTCCATGATTTCTACCAATTATCCCTAATGTGGTAGAACCCTTCAGCAAACTTAGGGTAATTCACAAATTATAAACAAGTTCATGATTGGTACTCCGATGTGTAAAATATTTGCCATACCTTGCTGGCACTCTATTTGAAATTGGTATGAAGTTCCGAATAAGGCAGAAAAAGAAAGGGTAAAAGAGCTATACAAACAGTGTGTTATGCAGGCTTCAAGTGTTTGCCATGTTGGCGTACAACTAACAAGAGTCAAATTTCCCACATGCCTTAAAATTTGAAAAGACCAAGGCCTTCATCCAAGTATATGAACCCTCTTTATCAAGCCCATAGTCGTTTACCGCACTGTTATGAGTAAAGATTGTGTGATGACATGCTTACTGACTGTTCACCATTGTTTCTTCCCCTTTTTCTTTCTCTTGCTGCCGCTGCCACTGGCACTGGCACTGGCACTACCGCTATTGCTGCCACCTGCACTGCCGCTATTGCTGCCACCGGCACTGCCACCAGTCCTGGAGCTATTTCCAGCCTTGGCAGACGGACTCTCAGTTGCAGTTCCACTGGCAAAATTGTCAAACACGCCTGCTTGAACTGCATTCTGTAACCACTCAAATAGTTCCTCCTCAGTCATGCCCTCTTCCATGTTAGAGGGTATCCCAGCACCTCTTTGTCCTGAACTTGTTCCCTTGCTGTTGTACTTCGAGGTTACATTTGTGTTCACATGGAAACTTGGCTTGTGAGTATTGACTGGACATCTCATTCCCTGCAACAAAAAATCCAGTATACGTCTAGAGTGATATATTCATGTAAAACCAAATGGAGTTGTCTGTGATAGACCATTTGTTTTGATCAAACTGAAACTGTAACCACGATCTATTTAAATTATAGGTGAGAACCAAGTCTGTGCAAGGATGGGCACTTGGTGCGCAACAATGCAAAAGGTAAGGTCAGCACCAAACCACGCACCCCTTACACTACTACCCTTGGCCACGTAGGTAATGGACTTTTATCCATTATTTCAATAATTTTACTCCATTCAAGAAAGACAAAATCTCCCAATCCAAATCAACACACTGAGATTATCCATCTGATTATCGAAAGCAGTATCCCATGGTGCAATCAATAATTTTTAGTAGCTAAAGTTTTTTATTCAGCCATGGCTTTTTCAATTTTTCGAATACATTTCAATGGACCTATAATTCATAGGTGGGCCATTTGGGTTAGTTCATTGCACTTAACAAAGCAATTGAAAACAGTGGCATGACTCGTGGATGAATCACTAAATTATAATATTGTAATCCAATGTCAACACAAAAAAATTAAAAGAAGCCAGATAGTAGAATTTTAAAATGCAGGTACTTGTTAAAAAAAAAAGTTTAAGGGAGAAAGAGACATTATTGCATTAAAAAATGAACCAATTTGACAACCATGGCACATCCAAGCACCATCACTGGCTTGATAAATTAAGGGAAGAATTCTTATTTTTGCTTCCTGTTGCTTGATGTATTGATTTTTGTACAGATTAAACTATAAGCTTAAGATCCTTTCTTCAGTCTCTTGTAGCTTGGTTCTAATGCAGAAGCACAAAACATTCCCATGACAACTAAGAAATGCCATATACACTGGAATTTAATATAAATCTGAATGATAGATTTTTTGAGTTGTTGGATAATCTCACTTTGAATCCATGATGAATGCTAGGAGAAGAAACGAACAAAAATACTCTACCTGGCATATATACCATTCGGTGGCATTATATATCTTGCTATTTGCGCAAACATATGCAGATGGAGCTTCTACCTGCAAAATTAAACATAAGGGAAATTAATTTTAGTGTGTCACGTGGAAGAAGAAATATATATATGCACACACATCAATACAGTAAACTCTTTTTAGACTCAACAAAAACCTTGTCCTATCTATTTTAGAACAGCAATATAAATCCTGGTTTGCCATTTACTCCATCTAAGGCCACAACTTTAGTTAAATCACACACTATCATATTTTTCCTTACTATCTAAATCCCTGTTGATTCTGGTGTTCCTGTTCCCCTAATATTAGCCTTAGAGTGGACCATATTAATCTTCTTTAGTGGTACTATAATTAACTATTTATGCACATAGCCAAATCATTTAGGAGTGGCAATTCGTGTTAAAAGTATCCATCTAGGAGTGGCAATTCGTGTTAGTGGGTTAACTCATGTCGTGTTGACCTACTAGCATCTTGTTATATAGGTCAACTCGAACGTAAACCGTTTAATAATCATGTTAGGAACTCTTGCAACAAACACGACCCATTTATTAAACAGGTAAAACGACACAGCCTGTGTAACCGGTTTAATAAATGGGTCGCGTAAATCACAACATGACACAACCCGTTTAATAACCTATTTAACCGTTTAAATTAAATAGGTCATGTAACTCTTTTATTAACTCAGGTATAAAATGCAAATATAATGAAAACAATGACGATTATTATTTTTTTATTAAAAAAAAAAATGGACAAATACAAAAACCATATTGGATTTATATTGAAAAAACAAAAATGTCCAAAGTAATTGGGTTAAAACAAGTTGCGGGTTAATCAGGTACGACTAATTAAACAGGTCTAATCGGGTTAAACGAATTCAGCTCCAAAACACGAGCATAACACGACTAATTAAATGGGTTAAACTAGTTGACACGATTAAAGTCAACCCAAACCTGCTAATTTCGTGTAGCGTTCAAGTCATACTGGCCGTTGGCAGGTCATATTGAATTTTGGCACCCCTAACCTGTCTATTCTTCGTTAGTACTCTTTAATTATATTGTGAAAATTTGAGTATCTTGGCAATTTTATATATAAATACTAAAATACATTTTCGCCAAACATAAGACATCATATAGTTGTTATGATCTAATATCATGATCCTACAAAAAATTGTGTTCTTTTATCTACTTAAGGTTACAATATTCTTCTAAACCTCAGCTTCCAATGTAATTTTCATTCAACGATTTTTTAAAATAACATTTTCAGATTTCTAAAATCACATAATCTTGTTTTAAGACCCTTAGATTCACACTCAAGATGCAAATATCGAACTAAAATTAGTTTCCTCCTCCCTTAACAAGTCTATGTATTTTCTTCACATCAACCTTCAAACCCAATTTGGAAGAAAAGGTTGGTGTGTCTCTCTCTTCTTTGCATCTCTTACCACATTTTAACTTCCTTTCTATTTTTACTAAGATTTGAGCATCCACATCCCACCATTAACTCCTCAAAATTTGCCTTTTTATTTAGATTTTCCAATAACTTTTTTTTTTTTTCCCCCTTCTTTTTTGTTTTTTTCTTGGTTTTTTTTTTTTTTTTTTTTTTTTGGGGGGGGGGAAGGAATAGCCCAACCCCTTTCCAAAAATAAATAAAATATTGAGTTTTTAAAACATGACCCCTTAAAATAACCAAAACCTCTTCAAATCTTCTTAACACCCACATGGTTCCCGATTAACACGTTATGGAGTTTCTCCAACAATCACGTCAGTCTGCATTATTTCTCTCATTTTTCTCTTTCTCCTCAACCTCCTCTTCTTCTTACTAGAAGCCCTAGTATCTCTCTTCTTCTTTCTGAATATTCTATTTTTTCCTCTTTTTCCTCTTATTTCTCTCCAAAAATTTCTTTTATAAATCCTCTCTTACAATTTCTTTATTTTTATTTCAACCCTACTTCAATAGGCTTTCCTTAACTCTTTTTTTTTTCACTTTCTTGTACCCTCCTTGAAGGTTAAAACTCAAAAGAAATTATTTTTGTGAGATCTTTTGTACTTGCATTATTAACCCTGAATTCTTGCTTTCATCACCAACTTTGCTTCCTTTTTTTTTTTTTTTTCTCTCCGGCAAGTATCACCAATACTATTGGTTTTCCAACAATTGTTTTTCTTATTATAAAATGTTAAAACAGAGAATTGCTACAATCATAAAATGCTTTTCATAATGCAATCATCATATCATGTGTTGTAGGTGCTACTCACTTAAAGACTTTCAGTTATGAAAATTGTTAGATCAAAACTTTTCTACAGGATGGAGGATGAGTTTGTAGCAAATTACTTACTTGTCAACATTGGAAAATAAATTGCTGAGAATTTCAATTTGAATTCAGTAATAGAGGTTTTATATTATTTAAGAGAGCATCAAGCACAATTTTGATAGTAGATACTTGATCAGTCTTTCATTTTGTTTTTGTACATATCCACGTTATAATTGACTAGATATATGATGAGCTAATTTTTTTTTTTTTTTTGTCCATTTTTGTTTATATCTATGATGAAATTAGCAAGATGTAAATCTGTCGTCTGTATGAACCTAATAAATTACGAAATACTTATGATCTTTTATATTAAGAATATACACCAAGACTTCTACCAAAAATTATTATATTACACAACAAATTCTTTTTTTTCAGTTCTATTTCCATGTTACTATCTCCTCCCCGACCACAAAAAATAAAAATTGTTAAATTAGCTTCAATTTCCTTTTCTTTATCATTTTATTCTTAAATTAATTTCTACATTCTCCCATTTTCAATTTCACCACCCAACTCTTGGAATTCTAATTCCTTTTTCTCTTCTTAATTATCCTTTAATATATAGATATAAAATTATCAATAATATTATGATGTCAAGTTCTAGGAATAATCTTAGTGCTTGCATGTTACGCAATCTACTGTCCTAATTATACATATATCAATTTGACTACTGTTTATCCAGTTTTAAAGGCTATTAAGTATTAATCTTTCTTTCTAAAATAGGTATTCACTACAATTGAAGTCTCAGATAGGCTCCATTAGCATCAATTTTATCTCCAAATTCGTATTCTCTGTGCACTATCTCATATTCATTAATGCCTCGTCTTATAAATAATTCCTCTTTCGGGTATTCTTAGAATTAATTCACCTTATGTTCGAAAAAATGAACTTCACAGTAGATTAAGCCAGCGGCACACCTTATGCATTTTTATTTTTTTTGGAATCACACAAGAATTGAAGCAACACATCAGTTAGGGGAAACTTTCTAATATTTAAGCAAGTCCATGTCGTATCCTAGAAAATTCTTAAACAAAGCTCTGCACAGACTGCACATACCTTCTGCAGTATTCCAAAAAAGAAAGGTTGAGAAGACTGTTCAACCCATCCATCTCCATCTTTGGCTTGATGAAAATCTTTGCAATCCTTCAAAAGGGAAGCAAAGAGAAAATAAGCGTCAGGAACAAAGATCTATTTTCTTCTAAAGAAAGAGCACAATACATATGGAAAGACAAACCGCATCTTGCAACATGCTAAGATGCTTTTTTTCCATCTTTCATCAATGCATGATCATTCAACACCATGCATATATTCGGAAGAAAGGGTTAACCTGGCACCATCTTGCTTGAGATTTTGATTTTTTGGTGTAAACCCAGACATGAAAGTTGCCACATTTCCTGCAGGCAATCCGTCTTGATTCCTCGAGAGGGTCGTCACCGTCAACCTCTGTGCGTGCAAATCCAGAGCCAAAGATCCCGTGCCTTCTTCCATTCTGGACAAACAATTGCTGAAAGCTCAAGCAAGACCAAAAAGGTTTTATGCAAAACTATAAGAATGAACAAGAATATAGACAGTGCAAAGACTTTGAGGAGAGTATGGGGAAATTCAGTGTAAAACCAACATTTAAGCTTGCATCTTGTTCCAAGCAATTCTGAAGACAAGACGAGCTATATAGCATTTATGTAATTGAATTGAAAACGTGATATTCCATGTGGCAATTGGGCACCACATATACCCATAGTATCTTCCTAGAAAGTAATAAGGAGGAAAAGGAAAGAAAGGTAAAGAGCAGTATGCCCCAGCCCCCAAGTTGCCTACACAAGTGTCTAAACCTGTATAATTTCAATGCATTGCACAAAAAGACTATTGCAGCCAAGTTGCTATAATTTCAATTTTAGTGAAGTACGCACTTCACTAAAATTAGTTTTCACTTGCAAATGAAAGTGGCGGATATACCATGAACATTTGTAATTTTCATCTTAGCAAGAGAGCTCTCCCAAAAAGAATCAGACAAAAACTTGATTCCAGCAGCTCTATTTAGTGAAGACCTAGTAAGAATTTTGGCAGCTTTCCAGTTATTTGGCTCTTCTGAAATCAAGTCACAAGTTGGATAGATGCCAAATGGTGCCTTCTTTTCTGTTTAATTTTCTTCCCCAGATACACCTTCAACTCTTCGTTAAAACGATTACGACAATATCTGAATTATCAAACCTACCATACTCTTTCAATTTTTAGATCTTTGATTCCAACAGTGCCGAAAATTCAATTGCTAAGCACTGCATGAACATATGCCAAATCTACAAAAGACCATTACCAATTGCAATTGAAATAAACTCAATATTTTTAAGGACTTCTGACATAAGATTAAATCACAACAGGATAACATCAAGGATCCATGACACATGTTTCTCAACAATATAGATCTAGTTTAGAAATTTGAGAGATTTAATTCCAAGTAAGAACTCTGATGGATGCTTAGAAACTCAAGATTTGGAATTAGGACCAAGTCAGAATACACATAATAGAGCTACACTAAAGTAGGAAAAGAAATGCAGAAATATTGATATCTGACGGCCAGAATATTTGCGAATTTTATAATCCATGAAGCATCCATAATTAAGGGAGAGATTGAAGGACATTGCCTAGATGGAGAGAAATGCTACCAGGTGGTTTTCTAACCATTGACTAATGATCAAGTTAAAAGGAATCTTATGTGACAGTTACGAAGCCAGCTATGTTTGGTGCTACATCATTTATGACGTAGCGGAAGCGACAAATTTGTTCACAAGGAACGGGTTACTTTGAATCCACAAAGTAGGGTGCTTTGAATCCACAAAAGAGAGAAATTCATAAAGAATTCTGAAATATTATTGATAAAAGATTTTAAATTTTGCCATTGCAATACATGAATATTTATAATAAAGAAAACCTAACACTACAAGAAAACTAAAATATAAAGAAACCTAATAGCAAAAGGAAAATAAGCCTAATAATAAAGTTTCTCTAAAAATTCCGAAAAAATAAAATAAGAAACCTAATAAATAAAAAATACTAAATCTAAAATTTGAGAACAATTAGACTTTTTTTAGGCCTCGAACAAAAATCCCGAAATAATCAGCACGCCTCCAATAACACAATAAAACACGATTTCGGAGGCCTAAACGAAGGTTTTCGAAAACCGAAAACCAGTATGGCCCACAAGCTAAAGTTAGTGGGTTTTTCTCAATGCGTCGTTTACACCCAAAAAAATACTATTGGTTTGTCGAAAATGGACTTGTTGAATTGCTTGTTGAACTGTGCAGAATTGTGTCCTACATCAGTCCCCTCTACTTCAAAAAAATTCGTCCTCGAGTTTGGCTGTGAATAAAATGAATTATTGCCTACCACAAAATCATATTGTTCACTGCCATGAGAATCTCCAAAGCACAACACCAAAGTATTTTCATCAGGGAATAAATAATTCCTTATTATCAATTTGCTCAAATAATGATACATCACCAATTTGAAGCCCGAATTTTTCTATACCATCTTGGACATCTAATTTGGAAAAATTATTGACCCGCTGATCATCAATTATTTCTTGTTGCTCAATTTCAACACCAAACTCCGTGTCACCATCGTCTTTTGTTATGCCAAAGTGCTTTTCTGCATCTACGAACTCTTGCAAAGGAATTAATGATTTCACATCCTTGACTTCATTTTCTTCAACTTCAATAGGTGAAGCAACATAAATTTGCTCTTGATCAACCTCGATAATATTAGTCGTTGCCTTAACAAAATTATTATTATTCTTGATGCCACTATCTTTCTTGTAAATTTTCTTTGTAGAGTTTTTGACAGATGGACTCTTTCCGACAAGTTCGATATTTTTGAAACATCAAATCCAAATATTTGGTGGTAGAAATTTGGCCATGAATATCTGTTTCATCTTGTACCACGACCGAACAGGATGTGATCCTTTCCTCCTTCGATGAAACTGTATTTGTTCCCACCAAATTGAAGCTGATCCTTTAAGCTTGAAGGCAACAAGCGCAACTTGCTTGTTTTCAGGTACATCAAAATATTCGAAAAAATTCTTCAACTTCTTCAATCCAATCCAAGACATCTTCAATAATAAAACTTCCATTGAAAGTAAGTAGATCAAGTTTTTCCTGAAATTCACGATTGTTGCATCTACCTCGATCATGGAATATGAACTCATCATCATTGGAAGAATCATTGAAATAATCCGCATAAGCTGGAGGCCTACATGGATAAACAGAAACATAACTCATGCTCGGTTGGTTGCGAGACACATCATCAGCGCGAACACGAACTGAACCACGAACTTGGTTGCCACCAATTCCAAAACCAGTTGCTATGAACCAATCTTGAGCATGCATGGCTGCCCAAGGGCCTACACTCCCCAATCAACGTCACGAGAGCGGTTACTGCCAAGACGATCAATCGTCATCAGCCCAGAGTAAATCAAGGCTCTGATACCAGCTAACGTAGCGGAAGTGATAAATTTGTTCATAAGGAACGGGTTACTTTGAATCCATAAAGTAGGGTGTTTTGAATCCACAAAACAAGAGCCTAAAAAATAAAGTTTCTCTAAAATTCCGAAAAAATAAAATAAGAAACCTAATAAATGAAAAATACTAAATCTAAAATTTGAGAGCAATTAGACTTTGTTTAGGCCTCAAACAAAAATCCCCAAATAATCAGCAAGCCTCCTATAACACAATAAAACACGATTTCGGAGGCCTAAATGAAGGTTTTCAGCCGAAAACCAGCATGGCCCACAAGCTAAAGCTAGTGGGCTTTTCTTAATGCGTCGTTTACACCCAAAAAACACTATTAGTTTGTCGAAAATGGACTTGTTGAACTGCTTGTCGAACTGTGCATAATTCTGTCCTAAATCAATTTAAGATGTCAATAAACAACAATTTTTATAAAAAAATGTCCACTAGAGAGATATAAGAAAGAGAGAGGAGACGTGTATAAAAAAAATAAAAATTTGATAAATAAATAATTCATTAAAAAAAGCATTCAAAAGAGAAACACATTCCTAACAAAACACAAAAACTTGGGAAACCTAAGGCCCCAAGGAAGCCGAAAACTCAATAGTCTCCTCAGCAGAAGAACAAAGTCTACCCGAACCCCAAAAACAAGGAGAGCTAATAACAGAAGATTTTAGAACAGTGATGGAAGATTCCTCTCCTTCAAAGGATCTTCTATTTCGCTCCCTCCACAAACACCACCAAAGACATAAAGGCACCATCTTCCAGAACCCACGAGCTTGTTCTCCCAACGAACCCCCTCTCCAGGTGTCCATCAGGCCTCTTGTAGATCTAGGCATAACCCAACAAACTCCAAACAAACCTAGCAAAAGGTTCCAACAATCAATCGCCACTGGACAATGCAAGAGAAGATGATCAACCAACTCGACATTGCACTTACACATGCAACACCAATTCACCGTGATAAAAAAATTAAACAAAATGATACACTGAGATGTATGACTGTATGAGTAGCAATTCAGTAAAAGAAAAACGATGAATGCTTTCATTTCTCCATCTTTGAGCGATGCTGCTGAAACTTTTTACTCTTTTAGCTCTCTACTCGAAATGGGGAGCTAGGTCGAAGTATATCATGGTGGGTATCCATGTCCAAACTAGGGACGTTCGGCGGATTGGAAGGCAAATAGGCCAAGCTCCAATACTGCAATGTGATTGGGCAAAGGTGATTATTCTCACGAATCTCACCTAAAGATTTGTGTTATTATCCTAATACCCTTCCCTAATTGGTAACTTACATGGTTTGGTTGGAATCAGATAAATTGAAACAGGGCCCTTTTTTTTTTCTTTTTTTTTTTTTTTTTTTGATAAGTAAAACAGGGCCCTTGAAGCTCAAGTGAGAGAGTTTCTGAACCTTTCGAAATAACATACTGCAAGCCACGGCTCGCAAGAACTCTGGAATAGCAAGAGGAAGGGCGGCCCTGAAGTATGGTTTGCTAGCCAGCTTGGCATGGAAAAGACTAGAAGGATGTACAAACTTTCAAACTAACAGAGGCCTTGTTTTGAACTAGCTAGAAATATTGTTTAGACTTGTAACCAGGCAAAGATGATGATGCGAGTTACAGACCTAAAACTCTACAGTCATTATGCAAACTACCATTTCTGGACAGTCACAACATAATCGTGCAAGGCCAAAAATTCAAGTCAAGAAATGTCCGTGCTGTAATCAAGCAAAATTCCTGGTGCTGTGTACTGTCTGCATAGAAAGGAGTAGACCCTCCCCAAGGGAGAGATCAACTCCAATGTTTCTTATGTCACAGATACAGTAAAACACACATTCTCTACCATTTTGATTTGAAATTTTCAATTATGAGAAGCAACAATGGACATACTAATTCACAGAAAGTGACAAATATATGAATGAACCAACTAAAAAACACTAGATGCTATAACAATTTTAGGCAATGACAGAGTACACATGCAACAACCAAAATCAAGTGAATAAGACTAATGAATGCTAAATGGATGTGCTGTATGATTGCATGGCTTTTAAGTCAGCATCCCCTACTTTGTTGCATCAAATTACATATCAGACAGAGAGTTAAGAAACAGCTCGCACATTTTTATCCAATACACGTATATGTGGGATTGTTGCCAAGAAAGAGAATGTTTGAGATAGATGTTATCTATCTAAAGATGGATAAAGAATGCAAACTCATGCATCAGTAAACTATAAAAAGATGAGAACAGGACAGATATGCAAACCTTTTGAGAAGCAGTTTGAAACCTACGGAAACAGTCCAGAAGCTCCTCCCTCCTCAATTCATCATCATAAGCTTTTTGCTTAGAAGAATCAAGTAGAACCTAGAAAAAGGTATCCTAGTTCATAGCCAGACATGACAAACCAAATAATACAAAGAAATATTTTTTTAAAGGATAAAAATGGAAGTCAAAAGCTTACCTCATATGCGTTTTGAAGCTTCTTAAAAGCTTCAGCAGCCTTTTCATTACCCATATTTTTATCAGGATGGACCAGCATTGCCTGATAACCAAACCGAAAAGCTTGCTAAACAAATCTTTCGAGTTCTTTTCAATATAATATGGTAGTAACACCAAGAAATGACACATATCCGAAAGTAAAATAATCCATTGGTCAGCTACAAGAAACACCACTGAGTTTCTTAAATGAACAATCTATCATCACCCCTATAGAGCACCCTTAATCTGTGGGACTAGCATGATGAAAAACAGTAGCTGCATATATGATTCACAGTGATGCTTTCCCGCAAATAATAAATAATTAAAAGTCACCAACCTTTTTCCTATACTCACGCTTGAGTACAGAAACATCTGCATTATTGTACCGGGACAAACCCAATGCTGAATAGTGATCTGTACAGTTTAACAAACGAACAACTTCATCTTCAGATGTTATTTCGGAATCAGTCCCACTAGTCGAAGGCACTCCTGAACTACGATCAGCTGATTGACCAGACCCCATTTCGGAGGATGAAGCTGGCTCACCATAGAAAAAGCCAGGACGGCCTCGCATACCAGCTGTTTCAGGGGTATCGTTGGGCCTTCCATGCTCGTTTGCATTGTTCTTCAAGAAGAATATTAGAACATCACTCGATATAAAAGATAAATTCAAACCCAAAAGTAAACCAATCCATCCAACATAACTCCATGCACAATATACAGAATACACAGTGGTTATGAACAGTGCAAGACGTTCATGGCTCAATGTAAATGCCAACCCTGCATTCCAAAGAATTCCAATCTCAGTGCGTTTTGAAGAAAAATTAATAAACAAAGAGAGATGATACTTCCCACTCTCAAAGAAAGGTCAACAAGATCACCTCCAAAGAAGATGATGAGTGCCGTTGTCCAAAAGCTTCCATAAAACCACAGGAAAACAATTCCAGAAATGGCAATCAATAAAATTGCAATGGCAAACCCAACAAGAAATCCCACCAAAGTAGCCATGACCTGAAAAATTAAAGATTTGTTTAAGAAGATAAACGTAACATAAAAGTCAATAGCTCAAGTATAAAATTTCTTTCTCAAAGAAGTTCTAATAAGAACACTACAAGAAATGCAACTACTTTAACCATTGGGTCAGGTTGTATACCCTCATCACCCCAATGGAAAGGTGAGGGTTTGAGCCCCATAGTGGGCATTATGGGTGTGTGTAACTGAGTATTTACCTACCAAAAAAAAAACCCAGATAGAGATGATGATCTTCCTCTGATGTATTACCATACCGGTTCCAACTTAGAGGAATGTTATGGTAAAACTTCGTTTCACGTCAATCCCACAAGCCTCTTATCCAGTCTCATTCAATCACAGCAGGGGAGCAATTCAAAATAGAAAAACTCACATTGGGACCAACAGGGTCAGCTACCCAGCTAACTTTTATAATTAAATACCGTTACTGTGGCTAGCTACTGACCAGGCCAGACCATGGGAACTTTAATATGGCAGCCCGCAGAAAATGATTGGATACAACAAAACATTTGAAGGAATAAATTCATGATCCAAAATGGGCCCATTAAATAAATTGGAAGGAACCACCAGAGATAATGAGATGATATCAGTTACAAGAATCATTGGTCCTATTTTCCCTAATGGCCGCACATTCACAATTATGAACCAGAACTAAGAAACCATGCGCTTGAACACAACTAGAAATTTAATTTTCACGGACATAAAGAGTGTCAACATATTAAAAAATCAGAATCCTCTGATGACAAGGAATGATAATTAGACAAAAAAGCTGCAAAATAGAGAGGTATGATTTGTTTCAAATATGTATAGTTAAATATATAAAAGGGCAGTTTAAAAAAATCCCAACAAAAACTATAAACAAATAGATGAACAAATCAATTCTTTGTTGTGGAAGGGGAAAGAAAAAGCTAATTGTTAAGACAAGGTATTGCTAGACTTACCAGAACCGCAACAAACTTGAACGTTCCAATCATCGCAATGACTGAGAAAATGCTGCACCATATAACTGAGAAGAAGGATGTCGTCCCCATGCGTAGGAAGGAGTCGATGCCTCTAAGAGAGCAGTCCAACCAAAGCATTGATATGAGAAGCATTACGTTCCCAAAATGCATAAGCCATCTAAAGAAAATTGGATACACATGCTCAATCTTCGTTCGAACATAATCACGAGCATTTAATATGTTGGTTGTTAAAGAAATAAACCATGGTTTCTGCCTCTCTACCCATTCAGTAGCTGCCTTTAAAATGAACAATGCTGAGGCCCTCAGGCGTCTCACAACCACTGCATCTAAGAACGCTAAACGTTCCATCACATTTTCCGCATGCAGCCCTGGCAAATGGTCCAAAATACATTTTGAATATTTTGGACTTTGATTACTGATGGGTGATGGCCAATTTTCTTCCATTGAATCAGAAGCTTCCATCGTAGATGTATTTTCGATCCAATCTCCTGAGTTACTGCCAGAAGGCACTGAATGCTGTAGACCCTCTGTTGCATCCATCTCTTGATTATCTCTTCTCACAAATTTATCAGACTTTTGCTTGTTTTTCTTCTCATCTCCTAAATGGTTCGTTTTATTCACACCATCTGTTACAGGTATGCTTGCATGATTAACATTTGCAAGGTCCTCCCCACCAACAACCTTCCCCTCACATGCTTTTCCCCTTCCTTTTGCATTTGGCAATGCACATCCTGAATCTGAAACAACTTTTTTGTGGTTTAATGAATGACGATCCAATCCTTTCTTCTGTTGGCTTCCCTTCCGAGCCATGAAATAATATGCTAAGGTATTATTCAAATGGGAAGTCAAATTAAACCATTTCTGATTGCAAGCAATAAGACCATGCCATGCAAATTAGATGCCATGTGAATGGTGAAACCTGTCACTATAAAATATGGATAATTAGAATTATTAATATGCGGGCATTCTTAGCACAGGAAAAAGCAACGTACCCTATCTAGAAAATTACATCTCCGAAAGTTTATTAATAAGTAAAATATGCACATTAAGAAGCCGCACAAACAAGCAGCCTGGCCATTTTATAGTCACCAACCAGTAGCTTCAAAACATATCATGATTTCATGCCCTAAAGATGAAGATAGTTCGTTTTATTTTCAATAAGCAGAAAATTGTTCTTGAAAAATGAGGATCGTGAGTCGTGACCCTGGATTCTAATAGCCAAGACCTAGAGGAGGAAAGGGGTTGAATAGATCTTCACAACTAATTGATGAACTTATAACAGAAATTCAAAATTAAACTATTATTAACTGAATTTCATTTCAAACTTTTTTTTTTTTTTTGATAAGTAAAATAAGATTGAAGAACCACTCAAAAGGGGAGCGAAACCCAAGAACAAAAGACAGGCCAAAGCGCCTCAAGCCTTCAAAGAGGCCAAAAAGACAACCAATTCCTCAACAGACTGAAAATCCCTCCCTGAAACCCAACAAAAAAGAGTGGAAAGAATAGAGAAACACCACAATTTTACATGGTAAACATTAAACCACGGGACTTAGTCCAGGTAGATCAAATTCATTATGTAAAGAAAGGTTCACAACTAGGTTAACAATAGTCTAACCCAAGAATCCCCTAGGTATCTCTTACCCGGACTCATACCAAATGATTCTCCTAAATCTCTGTTGCTGCTAGCCAACAAACTTAGCTGCTCACGCTATCCGCTCATACTTTAGTATTTTGATCTCCGTGACATCTGATTTTGTTTGGTTGAAAGGAATTTGCAAGTGTTAAAGTCCTTAGATTCTAGAATTCAATTGATCAGCACATAAAGTCATTCCCTATCTAAGTTTATAATGATGAATGAAAAAAAAAAAACTCTAGCAATTAGATTTCTAGAATGCACTCTGATTTTTCCTAAAACCCTCATGATGCTCAATGTATGCTTGTATGTGCTAGGTACACTTTTGCTGACAACATGGAGTGTTTATATGAACATTTAAGCAGGAAGGATTAGGGTCTAGAGAGTTTAAAACCTATTCGTCATTCCACACACTTTGATCAATCGAGACTCAGTATTGATACATTGAACCTAGTCCAGTGGGTTTCCATTGATTCTTCGATCAAGCAAACTCCTCTGTCCTAGTTCCTTTAGGATTTTCAAAATAGAAACAAATTTTGGCATTCTAAAACAGGTTTTTAAGGATCAAACATTTAAATTGAAACCCTAGAATGTTTTAGCATGTTTAATCAATTGAACGAATGTATAAATTGAGAGTTGAATACCCTTGTGCCCTTGTTGAAGCTTTGAAGTTGTTGATTCGCTTTTGGACCAGAGGTAACTCAACTAACAAATCTAACTAATTTTTTAAACAATAATCGAAACTTAAAATGAAACATATAGACTCTAGCCTTGTACAAAATAGGACCTAACAGCATTGATGCAGACCAGACTTGAAAAGGAAGTGAAACCAAAATATACAAACAAAAGGGATTATGACGAATATCTCAACAAAGTTAGGATCACCATAGCATCATATCTAGATAATACATGAAATTGCACGCCCCAGGAGAGAGAGAGAGAGCACTACTTGATACTTACCACTTATGTAATGATTGTTGACTGATTTCAAGTAATTTGAATTTACCTAATGAATCAATCATGTGAGTTCAACTATTACATTTTCGATGTTCACTAGGTCAAAACATTATAGATTAATACCATGGACACTTTTGTGAAGGTGTCGTGTTGGCGTCGGACATTGAAACTTCACTAACACTCTTAGACATGCATTGCCCGTAAGTTAAAATTAAATTTCAATATTTCAAACACTTAGTAGACAGATTCGGATGCTTGGCTGAGATATCCTGGGCACTTAACTGACACATTCCTGACATTTGGACAACACATCCTTAACACTAGACCAATACAACCCATGCACTTAGCCAACACATTTCAAACACTTGACAAACACATCCCAAGAACTTTGCTCACACATCTCGGACACTTGTCAAAAACATCCCAGACGTCCTCAAACGTCCTATATATACAGAGCATGTTGAAGAGTAGTCACTCCAACACTGTCAAGCACACAATGACACCTTTCATATATGACAAAAAATTTAATTGTGATGACTATGTTGAGTAGACTCAGATACATGTGTCAGGTGGACATATCAAATCCCCAAACAAAGGACACAGGAACACCACTAAATATCCATATTATCATTTTTAGGCTAGTGAAATTTTGACCCACCCCAAATGCTTTCATAAGTGAAAAAAAAAAAAAAAAAAAAAAAAAAAAAAAAAAAAAAAAAAAAAAAAAAAAAAAACTATTACCTTAATGTTAGTAAGAAATAGGAGTCAACTCAGTAATTCAATCCACTATTTTTATAAACCCAAATCATCAATCAACCAATTAAAGTGACATCTCATGCTTTCGTGCTCCTAAAGAGGGCGTACTTAATTGAACCATGATTTAATAAATGAATACCAAAAGACGTTCGAAATGAGGAAAGATAATTGAAAATTCCTTGTCAAAAATTGAGTGATCAAAACAACCAATGTTACTAGACTTCAACCAATAACCAATGTTGGTGTCTTACTTTTGGCTTGTTTGATGTTCAGTGGGTTATGCCCAAGTCTACGAAAGGATTGATTGATGCTTGGATAGGTTGTCATGAGGGGCTTTTTTGGAGGGTGGCACCCTTAGGTGTTTGGTGGTGCATTTGGAAGGAGCGGAATAGGAGATCTTTGATGGAGAGGAATCTTCTTTTGGGGCTTTAAAGTTTGTAATTGTTAGCTCTCTTTTTTGTTGGGGTTTGGGAAGAAATTGTAAATCTATAGAGGAGATTGTTTATTTTTTGGGCTCCTTGAGTTCTTAGGTTCTTTTTGGCTTTGGCCATTGTGTAGCTTTCGGGATGCGTTCCCCTTTTGAATGCTTTCTATATCATACTTACTTATCCAAAAAAAATAAAAAAAAAAAACAACAACAACAACAATACATAAGATCAAGATTGGTAAGAGTCGAATACTTTTTTTCTTTTTCTTGAAAGAGTAATATTTACCAAATTTAGAATCAAACATAGGAGGTAATGAAAAAGAAGAAAGAATATTCAGAAAGTTATCAAAAATCGAGTGATAAAAACAACCAATGTTGCTAGACTTCAAGCAGTAACACATAAGATCAAGATTGGTAACAGTCGCAATTATTATTTTTTTTCTTTAAAAAGTAATATTTACCAAATTTGGAATCGAAAATAGGAGGTAAGGAAACAAGATGGCCCTGTAAATTGGTCAATAATCCACTTAGCTTGATTTGTGATTCAGCTGACACACAAAAGGAAACATAATTCCTTGAGGGAGACAGTCTAGTAGTCTACAGTTCAGGGAATCCGACTCTAGATTTGGTCCAAGCTTTTGATGCTAGAAATTCAATTAATTAGGGTTAGCAAACACTTGTGTTCCATATAGAACCATATATTATTAATATATAAACTATTGTGCCATTTTTCACAACCCCAACCAATATTCTTTTAGGACTGTTTCCTTCCTTTCAGAAATTTCGACTTCTTTGAAACATAAAAACACTTGCTGGTGCAAAGCACTCGTTGTTCTTTTGCAGATGGCCCAAAATATTTCACATGATTTCCATTATCTTGCCTTCAGTTGATGTTATCACTAACTTATTGATGAATGTACTCATATATGACTAATTTATCTCATCTTCATGTACTTAATTCCCTTACAGTACTTATCCAACTTGACACATTTTATAGATGTGTTTCTTGATTGTTTGTCTTCTATTCATCTTTGACAAATTTCCCCTTTAATATGTATGGCTTGCATTATGAAATTACTCCAAAAGTACTTCTTCACTTAATTGCACAAAATGACCCTAAATTAATAGACACTAGCCACCATGAAAGCCACTCACCGACCTACAGACACAAGTCAACAATTTCCAGGATTGCAATCTTTAACTAATTTTATAAACTGAACTGACAGTACAGACAAAAATGTATAACTAACCGAAAAATGGGTAAACCATTACAATTTGAAAATATGCCTAACACAAAGAACAAGATTATTCAACAAAGGAAATACATTCAAAGTGCCACTAATCTAAGAATAACAACCTAAGACAACCATCCCATCATGAAGAATGCATCATAAAGGCAAAAATCCAAGAAGGCACATAAATTTGGAATCAGAATCTAAAATACTACACACAAGAAAATTCAACAACAGCATTTTATAAAATAATAATAGAAACCCAATCTAGAAATATTGTTCTATAAACTAAACAGAGAGGCTAAGGTAGACTTGAAGTCATAGCAAATGGTTCAGCTATTTCCTATGCAGCGATTAAGCTAATAATTCCTTGAAAAACAGAAAGAATTTAATTGCAGCATGGAAGCTAAAAAATGGAGACCCCTTTCTTGTGTTCCAAACCCTAAATACTAATTCTCTGGGTTTTTCTTGGATTTCAACCCCAAAAATCTTTCTGATTTTCAATTGAAAAAACAAATAACACAAGCTGATATAAATGTGCATGTGCATGTACAGATGTGTATGTAAATTGAATAGGGATTGCTTACCGGCAAGAAATCGGAACGATGAGAGAGAACGGATCAGAGAGAGAGAGAGAGAGAAATAGGAGAGAGAGAAGGAAGGAGCAAAGGTGAGCAGAGGAGAAGGAACGCAACCCAGAGTCACTGAGAAATGAGAAGAGATAGACGCAAGTTTCTCTCTCTCTCTCTCTCTAACTGGTACTTGGTAATTGGTACTGCCGCGCGGCCCACACCAACCAAACCAGACCAGCTAGCTGAGAAACCAACTAACGCTGTTCGAACCCAATCCCATAACCTAAATCTTAACCATGTACCAATTCATCTACCCCTCACTTATGGCCCCTTTATTGAAAGAGAGTGTAAATAGGAATTGGAAATTTAATTTTTTTTTATTTTAATTTCAAAATACAGATTTGATCAGAAATTATTACATAATCTGGAATTGGTACGACCAATCACTAGCCAACACATACGTAAAAAACTTAATAAAGTTGGCCCAAAGCTAACATATTTATTTGCATGTCGACTAGTGGCCTGAGACTAATGGTGCAGAACCATGTAATAATTTATCTCGTTTCGATACTTCTAAATGTAATTTTAAAATTAATTTTTACCATTACTCGTTTCACGCTCTTAAAATAAGAGTATAAAATTTGAAACTCCGAAATCGAATGTGAAAAGAACTGGTGAGCTTCACACAGAGCATTGGGGCTTATACCATGTGCAGTTTGTGTGGGTCAAACATAATCCAATGCATAATGGGTTTTTTTATATAACTCAAGCCTAACTCGAACACATACCTAAATTTAATATATTAGCTAACTTGAGCACAAACTGAGTTAAACTCAAAACAATTATGCTCGAGTTGGACGCTTGGAGTTTGGTCACTAATTGACATGAGGGTTTTTATAACGTGAGTTGAGCTTACCTTCCAATTCTTCTGACTTATCTAAGTTGCACACCTAGTGAAACAACTAGGCGTATTGAATTTAAACATTTTAGCCCCTTAACTTGCATGTTATATTCTCTTAGTAATAATTTTATTTGTGATTTTACATTGTTTTTATTTATTTTAGGGCTATTATAAAAATATAAGTCAAGACCAGTGATTTCAGATTTTAAAAGATGATATCTAAGAGGTTAGAAAACCACATCCATTGGACCAAGCAATGATGAAGATCCTAGTCTAATTAGACTTAGAAAAGAGTTCAAAAGAAGCCACAAGTTGATGAGAATGGAAAGAAGAAGGAAAGGGAGAATCTTTCTCAAACTAGGAAACTTTCTCCAAAATTGGTAACTTGAACCAGTTTTGGTAATCTGTTTGTATCTCTCTCCTCAAGTGTCAAAGCAGTTAAATTTTCACACATGCTAAAAGGAAATTTAAAGATCTACAATTTTGTATTTCACGAGAATTTCATAAAAGAGCTATTTACCTTGTCAAAATTGGGCTGAAATTCTATACGAATTTTGGAGTCCTTGTTTAGCAGAATTTCCATATATGTCATCTATATGGAAAAGGGAACTTTGGGACTGATCTTTTCTTATTTAAAGGGAATTCTCTACATCATTGTGATCATCATACAGAGGAGCTTGAGGCTGAGATCAGAGGAGGGGCATTGATAGTACAATTTAGAGATTTTCTTCAGAGTTAGAAAGGAGTTTTCAAAGACAAGATCAAACAATTGAAGATAAAGATGAAGGTTTCCACATCCATGAAGTCTTCTTCCTTCTTCATGAGCGGCTAAACTCTTTACAAGGGATTGATGTAACCATAATTTTAACTCCAATGGTTTAGTTATTTATTTTATTGAAATTATTTATTATATGATGATTGCATGATTAAGGGCAAAACAATGGTTGTACCTTGATTTTGGGATTTAATGCTTAAATTCAATTATATTTGATATCTTACCTTGTCTTAGGAAGAAGGATTTATGATTGGCCTCAACATCTCTATTTTCTGTGATTATAGGGTAGGTTTATCATGTAATGGTGCTTAATGATCATATGTTATGGGTTTGATAGGCCATGCTAAGGGAAGATGGGTCGTACTACACCCTTATACTACGTTTGGTGTGTAGGAATGGAATGAGAATGGGAATGGGAATGGAATGAAATGACCATTATCATTCTATTATTTGGTTGTAAATATAAAATGTGTAGGAATGGAATGATAATTGATAAGTACTCAAATGTGACGCATTTTAGCACCAAGTAAGGGTATTTTAGTCCATTCATCTATCTTATTTTCATGTCTTAGATATTTATTTGTGTTTTTGTCTATTTCAGGTCAATAAGGCTCAAATGGGCTAAAAATGGTCTATTACAGCCTTTTTGGAGTCAAACAAAAGTTCTTAAAAGATTTCAGAAAAATTCGAAAAAAGGTCAAAAATGCTGAAAATTTGGATGGATCGAAGATTTTTTTGATCGATCGAAGATACTTTGGATCAATCGAAAATGTGCTAGCAGCGAGCTGTTTTATTCCTGCGCGCCCGAACTCTACCTACCATATAGTTGCGGGATTAGATATTTTGAGGACTTATTTTCTGACTTGTTCACTACTCCAAGGACCTTTTATAAAGGGAGAATTGAACCATTTTGTAATATATCTTTAGTCTTTAATTTTATTTTTATTGTAATTTTATTTTATCCCTCTAGAAAAGTTAGAGATTAGGGTTAGAAGAAAAGAGAAGAGTGGAGGCACCAAGAACACATCTCAACATCTACACACTCTCTCTCTCCATTATTCAACAAAGAAAAAGGGGAAGAAGATGGAGCTATGTTTGCAGATTGCCCTTGAGGGTTCCAAGATCACACCCACCTCCTCTATGATTGGCCAGGCTTCTCCTTAGGGTTTGGATGAACACCAAGCTTGTAAATTAAACCCTTTCTCTTGACTTTTTGGGGAATTTATCTTGTGATTAGTGCTATAGCCTTGTGAATAAAATGAATCTTGGTATATTTCTATGATTTCTATGGTTTAATTCTTCTTATTAATTCTCTAGTTTATTTACATATCTATGTGTGATTAAATTGGGAATTATGTCTTATATGATTCATATGGTTTAATTATTCCTATTGATTCTCTTTATGATTACATGTTGTCTTATATGTGATTGTTTGGGAATTGATCTCTACACTAGTTTTTCCATATTAATTGCATATCTATGTGTGGTTAATTGAGAATCTAGTGATGGCTATGCATGGTATTCATTGAACGGGTTTGTCAATTAATTTGATGGATTATTCTTATGCTTGATGGTTTATTCTATAATTTAATTCATGTTTGTAGGTAGGTAGACAATCTTTACTTGATTTGATATTCCATGACTTATTATTGCAAATTCCACGATTCTCTAGATTGATGTGTGCTACAATTGTGACTAGTTTGATGGGTCATGCTTAAAATTGATGGGTTGTGCGACACTTAGTTTATTTGTCGGTTAGGTAGACGATTCATACATAAATTTGATGATCCATGCTTAATATTGCAATTGGTAGTCGCATTTTATTCACAAGAATGTTTTCCCCAAATTAGTTGAAAGTGTGTGGTTTGGTGAACGAGCTTGGTGGTAATTCCAATACACTCCACGACCTCACTTCTCATCTCTTAAATCCCTATCTCAACTTAGTTTATTTTAATTTCCTTGCATCTTAGTTTAATCAACCAATCTCTCCTTTGCAATCTTGTGATCCACTAAAGTCGAAATTAAATTCCAACACGTATAATCCCTTGGGATGATTCCTACTCACTCTTGCTACGTTAGTAGTAGTGGTGGTAGTGGTTTTTACAAATTTAAACTTGACCTAAAAGGCTTTTCTTGAACTGCACATTCGCTACATTATTTTGGCGTATACAAGCGGCCTCGTCAGATTTTGGCGCCATTGCTAGGGATTAACGGTTTTGTTGGAATTAAACTAGATAATAGTGTTCATTTGATTGCTTCTATTTTTATTTTACTTTCCATTATATATTCTTTTCTCTTGTTCTCATTATTCTTTGTCAATTAGGTACTTGACTACAAGAAAGGTAAATTTTGGAACTTGAAGCAATCATTGGAGCTTAAAGCTAACATTAAAATTTGAAGTTGATTAAGGACCATTGTGAGCAATTCTTGGAACTCTTGTATTTTAATTGTGCACTTCTTTGCATGCTTGTGATAGCCCTTGTTGAGGCTCATTACATTACTTAATTTTAGTCCAAGCATCGGCCCGTGTGGAGGCCAAAATTTTTTCTTGCATTTTGATTTTTAATGTGAATGGAACCAATGTTTGATCCAAGTTTGGAGGGAAATTACATCCCTTCACCTTATACTCCTCCATCATATTTTAATCCTTATGAGATTGAGTCCAATTCATTTCATGCATCATCTTATTATAGGCTTGATCACTCTTTTAATCCTCCTTATGACTATTACCTTCTCCCACCATTTTATGAAGAACCACCTCCATCACCTTATTCACCTGAGTTTCAAGAAAAAGTGTTAGCTCTACTTGATGGGCTTAATTCACAAACTCAACTTATCCTTTCACATTCTCAAATTTTAGCCAAGCTTGAAGCTCAAGTTGAGCAAATTGCAAGTACTCTTTCTCGTCAAGAGGATAAGGAAGAGGCAAATGAAAAAATGGCAAGAACTTCAATTTATATAGATGAGGATAATGAGAGTGAAGAAAAAGAAGTAGCAAGTAAGCAATTTGAGGAGTTAATGAGTCCACCAATGGCTAATCCAATAGAGCATAACATGATTAATGAGGACTTTCCTTGTTTTGATCATGATTTTACCTCGGCCTTTGATACTTTAGAGAGTGAGGAGATGTTGACCACTATAGAGGTAGGAGAGGAGGAGGAGGAACTTGTTGAATAGAGCCTGCCTTCTATTATCTCCAATGATCCTCTCGAGACATACTCTTTTGAAATATATAAAAATTGTGGTTTTGACCTTGAAAGCTCTAAAAATGAAGTAAACTTTCTAATGAACTCCTTAGCTAACTTGGAAGGTGAGGAGATGGTGATGTTTGAGAAAGAAAAAAAGGATGAAGAGAAGGCATTTCTTGATATTCCAATTGAGTCTTTGAAAGACTTTGCCTTGCCAAGTGCAAGACCACTCATCATTGATTTTATTTTCAAAACCGTGGATGAAAGGAAACAAATTGCATCTTTCATAATTTCTTTTCAAGTCATTCTTTTGGAAGATGTGTATATTGTTATAAGTGAGACATTAAATGAAAAAATGGAAAAGAGGGTTAATAAGGATGTTTCATATCCGGTCTTTAATACTTTCGACTAGTGAGTCGACCCAACGTC